TGTCTATTATTTTTGCGTTCATCGGATTGCATGTGAGTGAAAATCAGGTGATCAACGATTAGCGATGCAAGTGGTGCTGAATTTTTTTCGCCACTTTGTTACTAATTTGATATCAGCTGATTTCTGATGATAACGTTAATTAAAAATGTCATCAGCAAACCTAACAACCGCCCAACAATGCATCGAAAACCTTCGTGCGTATAAACCATCACCCGATATATTTATCTATAAGCATCGTGCTGCTGTATTGGTGCCGTTGATGATAAATCCTGTTACCAGGGACCTCGAAGTACTCTTCATAAAACGTGCTGACCAATTGAGAAGTTTTCCGGGTGAAGCTGCGTTTCCTGGAGGTACATTTATTTCATTGTACGCCAAAAATTATTTTTTAAGGGGGGTGGAACGTGCCCATTTTTTTTAATAAAGGAAAACAATTTATTATATAATTAAAAGGACGTGCTGAACCAACGGACGAAAATTTATATATTACAGCGGTAAATAAGAAATTGATCTTATATTAAGAGTGCAATGGTAATTCTATTATATGTGTATGTATATAGACAAGAGAAGCTGAAGAAGAAATTGGCCTAAAACGTTCAGATATTGAGCCGCTCTGTCAATTTTCACCTCTATTGTATGTACTTTCTATTTCCATTTCATGTTCTAATCTATTTTCTCGAAACAGTTTTAACTGATCAATAAACAACACTGCAAAAAAGAACAAGCAACTTTCTCCTTGTCACACCATTCGCCGCATTAATAAGAAATCCCGCAGAATTCAAACCAACCCTCAATCCACAAGAAGTATCCCAAGTTTTCACGGTTCCACTACGTGTTTTTATATCCAGAGAGATTCACGAGTATCAAGATGTTAATTGGAATGGACAAAGGTATCGAAGGCACGTATTCAAATGGCAAGGTTGGACTATATTGGGTTTGAGTTCTCATGTGATGGGATATCTTGCTAAAGCGGCGTACGAATTGAGTGAATTGCCATGGGCAGAATATGCCCCGAATCAACTTGATGATACTGCTTTGATAATTGCTCTTAGACCGGAGATTAAGTTGATAAAATCTCATATTTGATTGATGCTCAGGCTACTTCCAATATTCGCCTCCGTATAATCACAAGTCACACCGTTTCTGACTAAACTAAAGCCTCATATATGCACATCTCCCTATAGTCATATACCATCACAGGGTCTCGCGAGGGGGTGACTATAGGGATAGACTGGATTTTTTGGTAATTTATATTTGCATAAAACGAAAGTTTGAGTTACTTTAATTATAGTCACGTTGATTTCTTATGTTTTCGTGAACATTACAAATTAATTTGTATATTAAGCGATAATTAGTTAAAATAAAATTTACACAGCAATCAAATATATATTTATGTGAAATAAACCCATCAACGACGAGATTCGCGATGAAACTGCTTTCGTGATTGACTGCGCGTTCCCGAGTTCCATACACGACCGAAATTCGGAACCCATTCTTTATCCGCAGAACTAGAAGCTAATGACGATTGTTACCAAAAAACGAATCATGAATAAAAATATCTACATGTATGTATTTTCTATAAATAAATGAATTAGTCACAAACCTCGATCAAAATTAGCGCCGACGCGATTAGGATTAAGTTTCGCTTTTTTCTCAGCTTTTTGTGCTTTTAAGAATGCGTCTAATGATGGTCCGATTTCTGGTGGTGGTGGTGGTTGGTTGGTGGTAGACGACGAAGATGAAGACGGTACATTCTTGTTATTATCATTATCCTCTTGCATCCAGGGAGGTACTAATAAAATTTATACATATATGCAGTAAATTAGAAGTTGAAATCAAATCTACAAATGAAAATAAAAACTTACTGCTTCCTTCCATGAATACATTACCCTCGCCGGGTTTCAAATGAGGAACTTTTATCCGCGTCAAATCTACTGGAGAAATACAAAAAGGAAATATTGTATTATAGACATCGTGTGAATTACGTGACAATACTTTAATAACGATATAACAAATAAACACTTGCTAGCAGCAAAAAGATTATCAGCAACTCGAAGTTTTTTTACTTTTCTTTCAACTTCGTCCTCACTATTACTGTTAATAATATCATAGTCTTGTTGGCTATTGATAGTCTCGGTTTTACTTTCATTACGATTTGTGCTTGAAGAAGTAGGAAGAGTTGGACGAGTGATAGGCTTCGTAAACACACTTATATTATTGTTGCTATTTTTGTTATTTATCCACCTATAATTTCCTTGTTGTAATCCCATATAGTGATTGCTAAAAATCACATTATTTTGATTGATACTATTACTTCCATAGTCTAAAAAATAATGGAAGAAAATTAGAAAATACTTTTTTTTTGAAAACTGTGGAAAAAAATGAATACATACCATTGTAATTTAACCCATTACTAGCGACACTAGTACTAATACTGCTGTGATCAAATGAGTTGTTTCTAGTTGAGGTTAAGCTTTCATCTATTAATTTACGCTTTCTTTCCAACCTTGCAGCTTTTTCTTGCAGTGTGATTTCTAATTGTTTTGCTCGCATTAATTTTTGGAACTAGACAAATACAAAAAATAAATTATAGAACAAAAAATTGAAATTAAAAAAATCATTTTTTTCTCCCCACCCCGCTTTCAGGATAAAGATTGTGCAGTGGTGGTTAGCGAAAGAAAAATTGTTTCTCTTTCACCCGTCGCTTCATCATTATTTTTGTTTCCAGTATTAGCTACTGATGGCTTTGATGTGTCTGATAGTTTGCAAATGAAATTATTTAAAGAAACTGAATATACCTGATCCATATCTGCTTTCTTTATCATAAACTCGTCAATTAATTTACGATCAACATTGTTTTTTTTGAACCATTCGCCGACGTTTTTGTGGTGTTGCTTTGTAGCCAAGTGCTCGAAAATGTGAATGCTTGTATAAATAAATAAATTATAAAACGAGTGAATTAAGAAGACTCGCAATTAACTGAACCCAGATTATCTAATTAAATATGATGATTAATTTACCAAACAAATTGCGATTCATCATTACCAAGTTTAACAGTAGCAGTTTCAGCGTTAACGATAAACTTCGGTTTTACTTCAACTCCACAAAACAAGCAGGTAAAGTCTGGTTGTTTATTAATGTCTTGCACTAGAGTCAAATCCTTTAAAAATATTTTGTATTTGCGATAATTCTATGCGAGTTCAAAATTGATTGATCAAATCATTTATATAACTGACATATGAAACTAACAATGACTTTTTTTATGTTACATACAGTCTCTTGATCTTCCAAGACCTTTTTCAAGCGTTCTTGGTGACTTTTCGTGTAAAAGTGTCGCCTGCCTTCACTATTATTACGTTTACATACTTTACAGAATTCATAAGGCATAGGAAAGTTAAAACAAAATTTTATATTTTTTTAGTCATTTAATTTGACTTTTCCAATATGCTAATCATATCGATATTTCAATAGTCAAATTATCCAGTAATTAGAGTAATTAAAGATCAAACATTAAATTTCTCTATATTCGTAGTTGTTTCTAGTTTGACTTTTTTTGTTATGCATTACGAAATACTATATTTTTGACTCTAAATTGGATAAAGTAGAAGATTATTTTATTATAATTAGTATAACTAGTTTTTGAAAAGAATGTAATTATAACAAAGTTTTTTTTTATAAAATGTAACTATAAAAATAATTATAAAAAGTTTGATTTATATTTGTTTTATTTATATTTATTAATTTTCTGAGTTTTTTTAAATATTATTAGAAAAAAATGATCTGTTCTTTTTCTAAAATATATAAATATTTTTTGAATTATTATTTTTATTTAAATTTCAAAAATTTACCAAATTAACTGATAAATTTTTGATTTAATTATAAAAATTACTGCTTTTTTCTAAGAATATTTTTGCTAGATTTCTGATTATTTTTAAAATTAGTATTTTTATAATTCTAGTTAATTTTTAATATATTTTTTTAGTATTTTTCTAAAAGAAATTAGTTTATATACAGTAGCAATAAAAAAGAATGGAATGCTAAAACAAATTTATTAATAAAACATAGTAAAAATATGAAAAATATGAGTTTTTTTCTTTATATAAAAGTTTTCAATTTTACTAATAAATATTTTTTATTT